ATGGCATGGCTACTGCAACACTCAGGGCAGCAAGAAGGCACGACGCAGCCGTCAGGCAACAAGAAGAGCAAGACCAAGGAGTCAGACGAGGTGATCACGCGACGGCTGGCAGTACAGCTCGAAGCGCGGGTGAGGACACTCGAGTATGCGCAGACCGTTCAGATCTACCTCCCGCACGACCACTTGTTAATCGAGGACGGGCGCAAAGTGTACCAGAGGTACTTGGACATCGTGAAGGAAGAAGGACCACAGCACGAGAGGGGGCCGCCAGAGTTGCAGATTTTCGGCTCCAATCTGTCCGCTATCGCGAGCTGGTTGAACGAGGGATCGTCAAGCCCAGCCATGAAGAAGTTCAAGGGCGTCCCCGAGCGCCTGCTCCTGATGATGAGCCACACGGACGGGACGGGGGCCAGCGAGTGGGTGAAGGAGTACGGGTTTTCGCCGACGTACGACCAGAAGAAGGCCAGGCTGACCCTCACCCTCCTCGGACAGGTGCTCGTCGGAGTGACGGCAGAGGCGGCAGAGAAGCTGCTCAAGGAGCAAAGCGAGGCTTGGGGGAACGCCGCGGCGGAGGCCACCCTGCAGAAGAGCCCACTGGAGATCGTTCCGTTCACGAATGGGGTCAAGATGATGGGTCTCAACAGCGTGATGAGTCACATACTGAGAGAGTGGGGAGGTGCCCGCAAGCCAGGCCGCGCGCCCAGAGGCGAGATGGCAAAGCTGTTGCAGGGCAAGAAGTAGACGGTGAGGGAGCTTCGGTACGAGGCTCCGCGGCCCGCGCGGGCCGTCAGCGGGCGGGGGCTTCGGGCAGGGCGTCTTCCTCGGGTCCGAGGGCCTTCGGCCCCTGCGGCTGAAAGGGGGTGGACCCTTGGCGGTTCCCCCATTCGGCCGCCGCCTTCTGGCGGCGTTCCGCCCCTGTGTGTTCGGAACTCCGACAGCAGGGCTGGATCCGAGGTGGAAGCTTTAGCTCTAGGTGCGTAGAGTTGCCCAGCGCCAGTGTGCTCGGTTGAGATTCGGATCAGTGAAGGCGCGAATGGGATGGGTAAGTAAGTAAGGAGGATGAGGAAGAGGAGGAGGACGTGGAGGTGCAGGTGGATGCGGTGGTGGAGGAGGAGGGTCGAGGAGGAGGGGGGGAGGAGGAGTGGGGGGAGCATGAGCAGGAGGAGGCGCAGGAGCAGGAGTGGAGGATGGGTGGAGCGGAGGGGGTCGAGATGGGGCCAGGTTGCGGTACAAGCTGCTGGAGGGGGACGGCCCGGAGACGGGTTGGGTGAGCGTCAGGCTCCAGGCCAAGCGGCTGGTGGTGCCCGCAGTTCCGGACGCTGTGATGGCAGGCCGGGAGGGTGGCCGCCAGGTCGGGGAGGCGGCGCCCGCGATGACCTTCTACGCCATCAGCGACGTGCACGTGGAGTGCAGGCAGAACCTGCAGTGGCTGCAGGAGCTGCCCAGGTTCGAGCGCTCTGCGATCCTGGTGGCCGGCGACCTGGGCGTGTCTCTGAGGCAGATTCGGGAGGCGCTGCTGCTCTTCCGGCAGAAGTTTGACCACGTGTTCTACTGCTTCGGCAACCACGAGTGCTGGGCACACGAGAGCGCCGGCGACGAGGACTTCGCCGCCTTCTCCGACTCGTTCGGGAAGCTGGAGGTGCTGCGCTCGGTGTGCGAGGAGGTGGGCGCTCACACGACGCCGCAGCTGATCTAGGGGAACAACAAGTGACATAAACACAAAAACTCGGAGGTCCGCGCGGATTTCTCGCATCGGCGCTGGACCCCCCTCTCTGGCGCGCGGAGCGCGCCAGGGGCGGCGCTGGAGGCGCCGCCGGGGGGCCCCAGCGCCGATCCGGGAAATCCGCGCGGACCTCCGAGTTTTTCTATGGTTGTGTGGCTTCTTGCTCCCCTGTGATCGCTGGGGTGTGGGTGGTGCCGGTGCTCGGCTGGTACCACGGCTCCTGGGACACGGAGCCCCCGCTGCAGCCTCCGCTGGGCAGGCAGCTCGCGCAGCAGCCGCGGAGCGGCGCGGAGCTGGCCACGGACACGCACGTGTGCAAGTGGAGGGGCCTCGCGAACGGCTCGGAGGCTCTGGCCCAGGATCGGAGGTCGATAGACCTCCTGCCCTGACACGTCGATTAGCTAGGGGGCCACATGCGAACCCTACCCCTACCCCCCACGATTTCTGAGGGGGAGGGTGGGGTTCACCTCGTTCGGGAGCTCCCGAGTGGAGTGAACCCCACCCTCCCCCTCAGAAATCGTGGGGGGTGGGGGTTAGGGTACGCATGTGGCCCCCTATTAGCGAATTGGCCGTTTTCGGTTCTCGAGAGGGCGTCTCGGCCCCAGGCCGTTTTGGGCGTTCTCGAGAGGGCGTCTCGAGAGGGGCGTTCTCGAGAGGGTTCTCGAGAGGGCGTTCTCGAGAGGGCGTTCTCGAGAGGGCGTCTCGAGAGGGAGGCTTGTCCACCGCCGACAGGAGATGGACCGGCAGAACGAGCTGTGGGGCGTGTGGCCGCTGCCCGCAGGGCTGCGGGCCGAGCTGGGCCTGCCGCGGGGCGAGAGGCGCCCCGTGGTCTCCTTCTCCCACTTCCTGCCGCGCCTCGAGCTGATGCCGGAGAAGCGCTTCCTGTTCCAGCCCGGGCTGGCCCAGGTGGTCGGGAGCGACTTCGTCCGCCGGAGGGTGGACGAGCTGCGGCCGGACCTGCACGTCTTCGGCCACCACGCCTCCTGCTCCTGCTCCTGCTCCTTTTCTCCCCCTGCTCTTCCTGCTCGCTCCCTCTCTGCAAGACCCGCACCTCTTCGGCCACACCATCTGCTCCTTCTCCTGCTTCCTCTCCTGCTGTTCGTCCCCCTTCTCCCAGACCGGCATCTCTTCGGCCACACCGTCTGCTCATTCTCCCGCTCCTTCTCCTCCTGATCTTCCGTTTCACCCCCCCCCTCGCCCTGCTTCTCCTCCCGCTCTTCCTACTCTTCCTCCTCCTCCTCCTCCTCCTTCTTTTAGTATTGGTGCTCGCAGGAGGGACTCCCCATCGAGGCGGCCTTTACAGGGGATGTTTCTACGGACGGTTCCTGCTTCAAGGGTGATCCCGTGACCTTCTGTGTAGCCGGCTGGTCTGCTTAAACAATCACGCCAGCAGGGGGGCTGTCCGCTGCGATATGGGGGGGCAGTAGGCTCGGACTGCCGCCAAGCCTCCCCAGCTGCGGAGCATATCGCCGTCTCGGCTGTTGTGCAGCACTGCCCGCGCGTGACAATCATTTACTCAGATTGTCTCGGCCTCGTACAGATGGCGGAGGCGCCGTGGGCCCAGATCACGGCCAGACAGCACGTCTCCGCAGTGCTCCACATACGGATCCGAGGATCGCCCTCGTGGACCCCCGACTTCCATGTACTGAAAGTTGCGGTACACTGGAAGCAAGACGACCTTCCACCCTTGTCCCAAGTACGGTGGCGAGCGGTCGGGAACGACTTGGTAGACCGCTATACCAAGCGGGGGGCCCTCACATTGGCACAACCGTTGGACAGAAGAGTCAGAACCGTTGCGGCGATATTTGAAGTATGCCGTCCAGGCACCAATGCTCTTTCCCAGGCTGGTGCCTACAAACGATCCAGCTTCAATCGCAATCTTCGCCAGCCAGGCTTTACCACCGGCGTCGACGCCGCAAGGCAGCTCCTACCCTTACACCCCGCCCTTCCTCCCCCCCTCCTCCGCCGCTACCGCCGCCCCCCCAGCTGAGGTGGCAGCAGACGCCGCGGCCCCTGCGGATTGCCACGAGTGTGCATGGAAGCGCAGCCGTTGGCCATGTCAGCGCTGCCTTCGGTTTGCGAAAGGAGCGCACGAGCCTTCACCAACGGTGTCCCCTTGTCGGGGGTACAACGCCGCCTTGAGCAGCCTAGTTTTGACCCCCCGAAAGCACACGCTGCACATCTCCAACTACTCGTTGGGAGCAGTTTTCATATGCAGCACCTGTGGAGCTTATCCGGAGACGGGGGCACTGAGGAGGCTGGACAAGGACTGCCTGTAGGAATTTCCGTCCAATGGAGCGCGGCACTCCTGGGACATATGGGCACGCGGTCAACACCCGAACTCAAAGGTTGGCCCTGCGATTTGCCTCGATTAATATCTCCCTGTCTCCGCCCTCCTATGGGTCTCTGGTCATTCTAGTATCGTGAAAAAGTGTGCCTGTCGCTCCCATCCCATCTATCACCGCCGACTTGCTGCCCTTTGCCTATGCGTCCTCGGTCGCCTGCTACGCTGGGGCATGCGTACGACTTGGACGAGCAAGCCTGGTTAATGGCACCGACACGTTTGGTTCGCCCTCCCCCATCATTCGCCCTCATCCCCCGACAGGTGAGCTTGTGCCAGATTTTCTGCGGTCAACACGCGAGGACGGATTGGCTACGTGGTGGGGAGGGTGCAGGGGAGGATCTTCAGACGCAACGAAAATGTCGCGAATTCCGGCTCGCCTGGTCGTTGCTTTGCACAGCAGACGGATGAGAGTGCGCAATCCCACTATGTGGGCAGGCCACTGCACAGACAAGGGCATTGACGGGCACGTGATGGTCAGATACCTCTTTTGCCAGTTTGCTATGCTACACACGCATGCGGTCACGTAATTGTCGCGAATCCACTCTGGCCTTGTCATTGGGGGGCTGGGGACTTGAACCGCCAGCACGGATGGCACTCTCTCACACGCCCCAATCTCACACCCACTGCAGCAACCTTTCACACGCCACTCCATCAATGTCACAGGCTATGCCTCACGCACCACACATCACGGCACCGCACAGTACCGGAAAGCGACGCCTGGTCCGTCCAGACCGTTACCTTGCAACCCAATGGCAACGTGCACGGCGAAACAAGGGCGGACAAATCCTGCCCCCTCCAATGTCACGGAGACGGTGCGCCGATCGCACTGTGCCGCATCCATATCTGGACATTGTACCACGACAGTTTGCCTCATCGGAGCATTTATGTAGGCACATCAGAGGATTTGTGAATCGGCGCGCGCCCGAGCGTGCAGCACGCGCATGTGCACCTCAGAGGAGGCCACCCCCGCTCGGTGAGAGCCCTGGGGGGACCTATCTTGCCCAGTGCTTATGTGGACATGCCGGAGCGGACAAATCCTGCCCCCCTATCACTCATCAACGAGCGTTCCGCTAAGCACTGGCGGAAATTCCAGCCAGAAAACGGGAAACGTTTTCCGGTCACCTGGGGCCTTTGGGCCCCTGCGGCAACACGATGCAATGCAACGCACTGGAAGGAAGGGGCAAGAGTGCACCGTTGAGCTGCCCAGCCAACCGGTGTGCCAGGAGCTACCCTACTCATGCCTTCGCAGGGTTCCCACAAGAACTCATAGATCTCGACATCCATTCACTTAGAAATTCGTCACCTCTCCTTCTCTGCACAAGGATGGTCGACACATGCCGCGTCAGGTTCTCATGCGTCGTCTGCCTTCCCGCAGTGTCTGGAACAAGATGGCCCCGGCCTCATTGTTTCGTCGGGCCACCGCGCCCTGCAGGGTGGTGCCACCAGGAAGCTGGGCCCACCAACGGGGTTCAGGCCCCCCAAAGCCATGCTACCTCAAGTCCTCCTCCTCCTCCTCCTCCTCCTCCTCCTCCCTCCTTCCCTTCTCCTCGGCCACACCCATTTTCCTTGGGACATGACCCTGGACGGGGTCCGCTACCGCTCCTGGCCGCTCGGCATGCCGGACGAACAGGCCAGCAAGAAAATGGACGGGGAGGAGTGGGAGGAGGAGGGGGAGGAGGGGAAGGAAGGAGGAGCAGGAGGACCCGTGCAAGCCCAAGACTCATCAACGATGTTGCAATAAGCCCGACATATCGTAATTTCTTAAAACAGCTACAGAATATAAATACGACAACCAATGGGTGGATATGGCATCTGATGCAAATTTGTGGAAAAGTCTTGAGGACGGCTTTCTCGACTACATGGAGGACTTCCTTCTTCTCCCTCAAAGAGTCTCCAACATCCATCTCTCCGATTTCTGCTCGCAACACGTCTTCTGAGGGCCCCGGTCCCCCCGCGCTGCCCTCGTAGGGCCGGTCCCGCTGGACCGACATCGCGCGCTCGTCTCTCGTCTCTCGTCTCCCGAGGTCCTACGTCCCTACACTAATCTATTATTCTGAATGCGGGAATTGCCCAATTTGAAGACAGCCTTCACCCTTCCGAGGATTCCCAATCGAGCCAACACACTTTTCCTGGGAGTCCAACGCCGCGAATCAACGTGACTGTTGCGTTCTGAGAATTCTAAACCGTGCTAGAACATCGCTTCTGGTATTTTAGAACCGCGAGTCACCGTGACTGTTGCGTCCTGACGACCCTACTCTGTATGGGATCGCCCCCCGTTGAATCCGCTGGGGGGCCGCTTGGAGGATTGAGCATGTGCTGTGGGAACGGGTGGAGGGGAGGTTGGAGGAAGAGGGGGGGCGGGATTGGGCAAGCTCAGTCGAATGGTTAATCCCCCCCCTCGATAAATACCCCATCCAGAGTAAGCCGTGCCAGAAAACCGTTTCTGGCACTTCAACCATACAAATACACCGGTGCAAATTTTGAACATGAATGTGTGCGGCGCTAAAGCGAGAGCCACATGTTGAAAAGGATCCTTCCTGCACCATTGAGCATGTTACACGCTTTAAGCCGAATGCGCGCGGCGCTAAGGCGAGAGCTACCTTTTGAATTGGAGCCGCCCTCCATTCTTGAAACGTTTGCGCACTTGTAAGACGAATATGCGCGGCGCTCAAGGGAGAGCCACATGTTGAAAACGAACGGCCGTCCATCTAAGAAGCCATGGTACACTTTTTTTCACGACGGCGTGCGGCGCTACGGCGAGTGCCACATTTTGGCAGCGAACCGCCGCCCTCCATCTAATAAGCTGTTGCACCCTTGTGAGACGAATGCGCGAGGCGCTAAGGCGAGAGCCACACTGTGAAAACGTACCTCCATCCATGAAGCTGTTGTGCACTTCAAACCTCCAGATCATAATTCGCGAGGACGCCTCAGGCGAAACGCCCGGCCCGCCCTGCCAACACGTCTGGGGATGCAAGTGGAGGGAGCTATCTGCAAGGACGAAGCGAGGAGAAGGAGGAGGCGGAGGAGGAGGAGGAGGAGGAGGAGCAGGGGAGGAGAGGAGGAGGAGGAGCAGGAGGAGGAGGAGGAGCAGGGGGGGGGGAGAGGCAGGGGGAGGAGGAGAGGAGGGAGAGGGGCGAAAGGAGGAGGAGAAGGTGGTGGACGAGGAGGAGAAGGAGTGGGAGAAGGAGGAGGGGGAGGAGAAGAGGAGGAGACGGAGGAGAGGAGGAATAAGAGAAGTGGGAGCTGGGAGTAGGAGGAGGATGAGGATGAGGAGCAGGAAGGAGCAGGATGGAGGAGGAGAAGGAGGAGGCGGAGGTGGAGGAGGAGGAGAAGGAGGAGGAGCAGAAGAGCAGGAGGAGAAGGAGAAGTAGGAGGAGGACGAATCAGAAGAAAGAACATGGGACTATTATTAGTACTACTAGTAATACTAAGAGTACTAGTAGCAACTAGAACAGTAACAGTACAACTACTACAGCAAATAACACACTGCGAACAATCCAAGGAATCTTACGGATAAGAAGAATACCAAGGAACCACATAATAATAGTATTACTGCTATTACTACGGCTACTACACCTGCTACTGCTATTACTACTACTTCTTCCACTATTGCTATTAC